CCCATTCAATTCATCTTCTTCAGTCAGAGGTAATTTTTTAAAAACATATATATGTCATTGATGGATATCGAGTTGGCTTGGCCTTGAACAACAGAATAGAACATAAATTACTATTTGTTTATCCAAAAACAAAAATGTCATGTTTTCAAATTTTGAAATTAAAAAAAAAAGGTAGATTCCTGGAGTTATTGCACAAATCATCATCATTTTTAAGCTATGCTTAGAGAACCTCCAGCCTAGAGGTATAGCTGAATGGAACTTCCGTATTCGATTAACTAGATCTAAGAGAAAACTAAACGGTAAAAATAAAGCCAGTAGAAACAAGGATAAAAAAGAGGTCTGTTCCCCCTTCTCCTTTATAACATTTTAGATGTGTCTAGAATACGTAACTTAGAAAAGGACAGAAAGGTAGCAAGTCTATGCTGAGTTATTTGCACATGTTATGAGTCAACATCACATGGTCTGTTTGGGGTGTTCCTTTAAACTCGGCTTTTGAAATCTGGCTTCCCTTCTAGGGCATCATCGAGTCTCATTTTATTTCTGCTCTTATTTCCCGTCCAAAAATGAAGTTTGGCTGCACTTTGATGTTTTACTGGTTAACTCTGACTACGCAGTTTAAAGGAAATTGTAGAAACCTCTAGTTTGCCCCCAATGTCTTTGTTTCTATTAAATATCACTCATTTGCTTTTATTTCTTGTTATTAGCAGACCAAACTAACTTCTAGCAACAGGTTGTCTTTGCTCTCCTATTTCTTCCTTTTCCAATTATCCGGAGTAATTTTGTTTTCCTTTGAGAGCTTGCGTATTAAAAATTAACTGTGGTACCACAAACTTCTACTAGAGAATGTTCATGGGCTATATATATGCACAGCCATAAATTTCAACCAGAATTTAAATGCTCTTCATTCTGAACTGAATAGATACTCCCACATTTACAGAGAGTTTTTATATCCCTTCCCTAAAGAAATATAACATTTAGTGCTGACTTGTTAAATTCTTTAGGATCTTAGAGTGTAAAATAGTTGCCTCTGAAACCATGTTTGCTTTATGATTTTCCATGTCTAGTATATTTAAACTGGGTTTGTGAAAGATTTTTCTTTTAAATCCCATTAAAGTATTGTAAATAAAACAATTTAAGTTATAATGAAAACTTTTTGTTATAATAATACAGATCAACCTATCTCATCAATCCAGACATTTTTAAGCTTTATGCAGAATTTTTTCTGTAGCCCACTCCCTCAAAAAACAAATGAACAAAACCCCCCCAAAAACCAGGGTAAGTTGAATTGTTGAATTATAGGAGAGAATTTTTCAAGCCGGGTGCCAGCTGAGTACAAAGTTTCCTTGTGCACAGAGCAGTGAAGTAGTCTTAACCAATATCCTCTAAATAGAGTAAGTGTTGAGCAGCATAGTTTATTAATAGTACTACAAACACACATGTATTTTAGCACAGTAGAGCTCTGTTTAAATGAGATGCCCTAAACACATCACCCACACATGGTGGAATATAAATTGCTCAGATTAAATGAAATGCCAAAATTCTGTTTTAAGGTTTTAAATGTGCTACTGCCATAATTGAATAAACTATATTTGCATAAAAAAATAATTAGCATTGAATGAAAAGTGTGTTTTAATTATTCGACTGTTTCAACAATTCTAGCTTTTAGCAGTTTATAATTAGAATCCATATTTTATTGCATTCTTATCTGAATTAATCATTGAAAATTAAGTCTAGTGGATAAGATGTCACTTTTATAGGAATAGTAGCACAAAATAAGGTGAAAATAATGAGTAAGCATAACCTGAAGCATTCATTTTCATGCTCAATAAGAAATGTTCTGTAACACTTTCTTTAGTAATTTAGTCATCTTTTCAGTTAAAAGGAAAACTTCATTCTAAAAGTTTTATTAATTTATGAATATTTCCTAGATATGTTTTTGCTATTTTAAAGGTAGAAAATGTGGTCTCTAAGCAATGGTGACTATTTTCTACAACGTTTATCTGTGAATTGATACTGCACATAAAAACTCCCAATCCAAAGGAATATTGAAAATATTTGGGGACCCATAGAATGTTGTAAAATTCTACATTAAATAATAATTATGTTCATATAATAATTATCATCTACAATTCATTTTTAAACACATTTTACCAAGTTTGCATAATGCTTTACAGATGCTAATAAAATTTTGTGTGATTTTATATAATCTCTTTGAAGTAGATGAGAAGTCATTATATAAGGGAGAACATAAACATCTGTTAGATTATATAAATACAGAGCAAGTCAGTAATAAAAGTTGCTAATAAGTTTGAGAAATCTAGAGAGCTAACTTCTGATCTATCTACTAAATTTCACTGTAGTGTAAATATTAGAAGTTTGCTTTCTCAGGCCTACTGAGAAAAGAATCATTTGCAAAATCATATGGAATATGGTAGGAAAAGAATCTGAGCTAAGCGCCTACATGTACCCAGGAGAGGAGCCTGCTTGGCTGTACTGGGTAATTAGATGTTACAGGTTCCCTGTAGTGCCTGCAGGGTACCATGTGCTGAGGGTGACCAGCAGTGGTTCTCAGCCCTGGAAGAATGCTAGAATCACCTGGGGAGTATTTGATAAACACAGCTGCCCAGAATACACCTGAGAGTCTTTAAGGATAGAGCTCAGATAGCTGTATTTAAAAAATCACCTTACTATTCCAACTCCTAATTTAATGCTCAGCAATTAGGCATTGATTGATCATTGAGAATCATTTGTTTTCACTCTTTATGACTGCCAACCTGGGCATGGTATTCATATTGCCATCCAAATGTGAGCTTCATATTCAGATGCCCAAATATAGAAAAGAGGTTAGAGAGGAAACAATAGAAATGCACGATTCTCATAGAAACAATAGAAATGCTCCTTGGCCATGTTGAATGTATCAGATTCTTGAATGAAAGGGATTTTTACCTATAAAGCCTTGAATTTGTAAAACGTATACTTTAGTCATAAAAAGGAATACGGAATAGGTCAATCAGGAACAGGGTCGGATAAGAGATTAGAGAGACTGTCCATAGGCCTGTATGGTTCAAGGTTGTACCCCCAGGGCTTGGAAGAGATCCTGCCCCATTTTAGGCAACCAGCAAACTGTTTTTGAATGAAGAAATGACTCTGGACTGGAAATGTTTTGTAATCAGAGAAAAGAGCCAATGTCTTTGAATGCTTGGGTGCTCTTTTATTTTGCTGTTGTTAATTTATTTGCACTTTTAAAAATTGCAAATGCAAGATCACATAGCCATAAAGTGGCCACCAAGCTCTGTCTCCTTCACACTTAACCACTATGCTGACTGCCTCTCCAAGACTGACTAGTTGAAGTATGTGTGAAAATGTTTTGAAAACCTATAAATGTAGTGCAAATATATTATTAGCATTAGTTGTCTACATGTCAATCTCTCCTGCGAGTTTTCTCTCATTCATCTCTATCCCCAACAGAGCTCATATTAGGCACTTGACAGATATGAGTGACACTTTTTTTAAAAAAAGTAAAAATTACTGACTTAGATACTGTTAAAATTGAAGGCTTTCTTTCTGTGTATACATGTCCCTCACTGTGTGTCTTTAAAAATGTTTTTCAGCAAATGCAAAAACAGCTTGTTTTTTGTTTCTACTTGAGTGGAATTGCATTATTCTATGGCTTTATTCTATTCTTGATGATATACCTTGGATAATTTTCTACATCAATATTGAAATATTTTCTTCGGTTTTTAACCACTGAAGAGTAGTATGTAGTATCTATGTAATGACATTTATGTAGCCATCTTTCTATTGATGGAAGTTTTTGTTTTGCTTGTTTCTTTGTTTTTGTATTCCAGTTTTGAGTACTTTTATAGAATAGATTCCTAGAAATGGAATACCTGATTCTACAACACACATAATTTTTCAGTATGATACCAAACTGCCCTCAAAAAAAGCCTATGTCAGTTTATACTCCCCACATAATGTGTAATAGAGCCCATTCCCACACCCCATCTGGCCTAGGTACCAGTAAACTTCTCTTTCAAACCACATTTAATGGAGAAAATTATATTTTATTGTTATATTACATTTGCATCTGTATACCTTCTGAACACTATATCCAAAACTAAAATATATGATATTTTAATCTGAATGGTAGCTAATATAACCTATTTAACTTATAATATATTGAACTATTGTTCCATTTATTTTCTAAATTTCTGTTAAAATATAACTTTGATATTTATCTTTTTTCTATTATCATAATTTATGTAACTATTATTATTGAATATTTAATGTTTTTCCAATACCTCACTAATATAATCATATAGCAATGAAAACTCTTATACATGTGTTTTTTCTTTTTATGAATAATTTATTAACACAAATTTTGGACAGTGATATTACTGGATCAAAGATTTTAACTCTTTTTATTGCTCTTAATAAGAGTTGTTAAATTGCTTTACAAAAGTTGTATCAATTTTTATGATTATCAAGAGCATATTACTATAACAGATTCTTGGCTACCCTTCTGAAATATAATTTATTTTAAATTTAAGAAATTACATAAGTTTACTTACATAAATTGTACTTAGTGGGATATATATTCAAAGAATGATGAGATATGTATTTATATTTTCTGTGTTTAAAAAATACTTTATAATGCTGAGAGCAACAAGATACAAAATGAGGTATAAATTAAATATATAAAATCATATACCTCAACAATAGATATTTTTAAAACTTTTTTATTATTAAATTTATTGAGGGATAACATTGGCTAAAAACACTATCTAAATTTCAGATGTACAGCTTTATAATACAGCAACTGTATACTCTATTGTGTCCTTACCACCTAAAGTCTGGTTTCCTGCCATCATTTGGTATTTTTTTAATTTTATTTTTTATACTCCTCCCCGCCCCCAATAATTGATCACAATGTATATCACAACAGGCCTGAATGTCTTCTACATATTCCTGGGGTCCAAAGATCTGTCTCTTTCTTTCAGGAAATTTACCAATGGTGTGGTTCCTCATGCAACAAATATGAGCGTCTGAAGGCAAACCAGGTTGCCATTGGCATTCGGGACAATGAAAGGAAAGGAAGATCTCAATTAATTGTGGTGGAAGAAGGAGGTGAACCGTCAGAGCTTATAGAGGTATTGTGACTTAGGTTGTTTTTTAAAAGGTTACAGCTCTTTAAATCAAGTGTGTGTGTATTAGTTTTAACAAATTCTCTACTACTTAGGCTAAGATAGAAAGAGAAAGTATCGGAGTTCTCTCAGTCATGGTACTAGGAAAGTAGAACATCAAGACTGTTTTCTCTCATCATTGGAATGACTATCAAAGAAAGCCTTGACTCTATCTTCTGTGGTATTCAAGGACAGATAGATGGGTGACACTTTTGAGACTGATTTAAGAATATATTTTGAAAGAAAAAAATGGTTTATTATTTTGGGTTTCTAGGCATTTTTTTTAAGCAGCAATGTTCAATTTTAAAATTAATAATTATTTCATTAAAATAATGAAATAAAATCTTATACCAAGAGATTTAATGCACTAATATTTTAAACATTTCAATAATTTTAAACCAAGAATTATAGGCAAGACACTTATAAATTTAGTATAGTTGTTAAATTAATTTGAAAATTGTCTCCATGGCTCTTTATGCCTATATCATTTACTTAACCATTATAACAGTCTTAGACATAGTTGTGAACAGTTTTGCCCCTTTAATGAAACCACAGTGAATACCTGAATGCATATGTTGTGTATACTCCCTTAAGTAAGATTATCTGTCAAAGGGCATAATTATATTTCAGGTGTCTAGATACCTGTTGATAAGCTGATTCTCATTTATTTATTCAACAAATATTTATTAAACTCCTGTGGTGTGCCAGGCACTAAATGTTTGCACCAAATGCTACTTTCTTACACAAGCATTACGTTCCCTCATGACTTTGCAGAGCCCCATCAGAATGTACTGTTGTAAATCTTTTGAATCTTCCTGCATTTAATAGTAGCAGGTGTTATCTCTGAATTTTTATTGCTCTAATTTTCTAGAATATTTTTGCAGTTTTCCCCAATGCTTTTAGCCATTTGCATTTAAGTTTTCTCAGACTATCTTGATTTTGAGCAATGTAATGCATTACAGTTACCTGATCCAGTGATCAAAAAATATGTAATAAGTTAATGTTATTGTTTATAACTTCATTACTTTAATATCCACCAAACACAGACTTTCACATTAATGATGTTTTAAAAACAATTTTAATTGAGTGAGAAGATGTTCATGGTATAATGCTAAAACAAAAGATAGGCTATAATATTTTATATATAATATTTTCTTAATATATAAGCTTATGTGTATGTAACTATATTCATATGTACTTATATATCTGAAAGAAATATGCTGAAATATTACCAATATTATCTTTGACTCTTGGGATGTGGTTATTTGTTATTTCCTTCTTCATTTGTCTTGTATTTTCAAAATTCATTATAATGGATATGTTTTCCTTTTATAATCAGGATAAAAAAGGCCATCTAAAAAAATAAAATGTAATTTGGGATGGCTTAACTGGATTTTCAATAGTCAGAAAAACATTACTAATAAATTAGACCTTGGAAACTATTGAAAACAGATTTCCAATCTTTTAATATTTTTTCAAGGCCTCTGTTCTAGAGATATGATCATCATTTAAGTCTTTTAACTCATATTTGGAAGCAAAAATTTATAAATAAGATGTGTTTCTAATGGATTATAACCTCTTGTTTCAATAACTATATTTTGATAGAAGTGGGTCCAGAACAGGATTCATCCTTGTAGAGTGAGTGGTGGAGGGAGTGTTGCATTAACTCTGGGGCTAAGCTTTTCCATGGTCATCTTGGGTCCAGAGCAAGTCTCCTAACCTCTCGATGTGTTTGGTTCCTCTTTTGTAAAGTGAGGCGTTAGACAAAGTGGCTTTTTTGGTCACTTTAAGTTCCAGTGATCTGTGATCCTATCTTGTCTCTTAGGCAATATCTGTGTTTAATCCCAATCATTCACAGTCTGTTCCAGGAATTGAAGCCAATTAGGCTGAGGGCCTTAACTGTGCAGATATGCATTTGGTGTCCTTACTTACTGGATTTCATTCAAAGTTCTAAGACAGAAAAGTTTAAACAGTCAATTAATATATCATACTGTTATGAAAATGCAACTTTTAAGAAAAATATGTGTAAAAATATAACTTTGGTTATAAAATATTAGTGAGAGGGATGAAGGACATACCGATTACTATAAAATACTATGTCTGTATTTTAGGGACTTTTCATTTTTTGGTTTTTAAAAAGACCTAGAAAACACCTACTTTGTTTACATTCAATACATTCAACATATACTGTATTATATTTGACAACTCTCTCACACAATGAACTGAACTGAATTTTCAGTGAGAACCTTCTTTTTTTTGTTTAAGCATTCAGTGGACTTTTCGTTTTTATAAATGTTCTGTAGCCTGATCACAATGTTTAGTAGTTGTTTGATGATTTAATTACGTACCTATGATAAATTAGTTTGTTCAGGCTTTCTTAATGTTGTTCCTATAACTATAGAATTCAAAGAGGTCATGAACTTGTCTGGGAAAAAAAAAAAGCACAACTTCATTTTCACTAACCTCTTAATGAAAACTTTCTCCAATTATAAATGTAGTCAATGAACTAGAGTAAAATGAGCCGTACCTGTGACTTTTCAGACCACATTATCATCATTGCAGATAATGTCAAAATATTTGCTGTTATCACTACTTGGTAATTTTTATGACAGTTATTAGACCTGCTGCTCAATAATATTATTTAAGGAGTTAACGAAGAAGCTCATATATTACTTTATCACATTTCATTGTTAAATATATTTTGATATTTTGATAACTGTATTTCAGTGTAATTGGTTTCTATTGTAATACTTGGTATTTTATTTTACATGTTTAAATTATGTTTTTCTTAAAAAAGGTCATAGGCTTCAAAAGTGGTCCAAACTGGTCTGTAGTACACGGACAAAAAGATTACCTTGTTTAAGATAATGGAATACTATTTCTTTTTCTACTGGCATTGCTAGAGAAGGATTCTAAAATTCTAAAAATCCTTCAATATCTTTTAAAATTGACCTTTTAAGTGACTCATTTTTAACGAGAATTTTTAAAAAATTATCCTTAAAAATTTTTAATTCTAAATATGACAGTATGGCTTGAAATCAAGGACTTTTAAGCAGTAAAATAATCCTATTATCATTACTGCATATTCGATGCTGAATTTTTGGAACATGTCTTTCTAACACATTAGAGTGCTCAACATTAAAAGTATTGAAAAATAATTTTTCCAAGAGTTTTTGAAAAATCGATCTTTATTTTGATATGTTTTAGCTATTTATTGATCACATTATTATTTTCACATGATGTTAATGTGGTTCATCTCTAGAATGATGATAAATTTTTCTTTCAAATCAAAACACTTTGAATAGTGATGGGGCACCAACCATACGGGACACAGAGACAACATATATTAACGAGGCTGTCTGGGGAAACAGGATGTGTGGTCAGCCTCTTATCTGTATCTTTAGTACTTTTAAAAGCTCATATGCCTAAATATGAAAATAATCCTGTAAATGGAACTAACTAAAACCTGTAACTAAAGTCACATTTTACTGTTTGTTTTCTCTTCACTGTAAACATTTTTACTATAAAAAGCTGCATGTAAATTATGTAAAGCTTTTTCTTGGCCTTTCTTATTTTTATATTTAGAATGAATAATCAATGAAATGAAAGAAAATTAAATATTTTACTAGCCCTAAGGTCCCACACTTTCTTCATTGGCCCTACACATTCTCTAAACATTAGGAGGGAAGCTAAAAAAATCCCCTGAGGAAAATTCCTAAGTTCAACCATTTATCAATCTGTTTTATACTCATTCATTTTTATAAAAACAGCATCTGGTAGATATCAAAAAGAGAATAAGAAGGGGCAAGTTGTTTAAAATAACAACAGGAAACAACTAATTTTTCTAACCCAGAAAGACTTTCAGTGTAATTTAATGAACTCGTTAAGTGTAAAATCATAAATACTAGTGGTGGAATATTGGCAGTAAAAATACTACAGAGAGATTGTAAGCAGATGCTGTGTTGCTGAGCTGTTAGATTTCTTGCTTTTATAAAAACATGAAGCCTCCCTGGAAAATCATATGTGCAATCATTGTCTCAGATTCTGGACAAAAAAAAAAAAGAAAATAAAATTGGAAGAAAAATTAGAATAACATATTATGTCTCAATAAGAGTTTATTGCATACTGGGTTGGTTCTCAATAAAGTTCAAAGACTCTGCTTATTTTATTGTTTGATTGAGGAAATTAACATGTGCTAGATCTAAAACGGAGAGATGGGAACAGATTGTGAGGGTCTGCAAACTCTAGAAAGCATGGTCAGAATAATAGCACTATTATTTGGAAGGCATCTCATGGTAAAATTTATATATATTTTAGACAAAAGGTAATAGCATATAGGTTAGGTTAACCTCCAAAAACTCTCCCAATACAGGGATTATGTTCATGTTGTTATTATAAATCACAATTGACAACATGGAAATAAAATAATTTTTTCAATCATTCTCTTGACAGTTGATCAGATGTTTATGATGTACTCATCTGGGTACCTTGTAAGTAAAATCTAGAGTTGACTACTATGAATAGTTCTTAAATTATCCTTTAGAGATATCTCTTTAGTCAAAGAGTAAAATTTTAGTCATGTTTTCTTCTCACATTTATTTTGCCAATTAAAATTTATATCTTATTAAGTCTGTTCTAAGTTCCTTGAGGACAGGCACTGCCTTTATAACTGTATAACCCTCCTAGCTCTAACTCATTGATTATTAATACTTGGATAATTAATACAGTTAACTGTAAGCTACATGGTACCAAAAAACTATTCCCTTTGTTTTTTCTGTTTTTTAGAAGATAGTTCTGCTTTTAAGACTCTCCTGCATTTTAGATGGTAGCATTGGCGAAGATATGGACAAATTTATACTATAGATTTAGTTTTAAAACCAAATATACTTATATAGGAGCAGTTAATGTTCAGATAAGGATAATTCATATATTCTGCCAGTCTTCTTTCTACAGAAGGGTAGTTACAA